AAGGACACTCGGACGTATTTATGTTGTATTATGTAAGGAACTATGTTGCACACAAAACCCTATGCACTCAGTTCCTTTTAGCATAAATACGTCCATTTCTTGGTCAGTGTCTTAAAATCTCAGCTACCGCGTCATCCATTACAATCAAAGCAAATGCATGTAATATGTTGTAACTTTTACAGAATATTCTCCTACATAATGTTATCGTGCTGAAAATGTAAAATCTCAAAAAATTTACCCATAAGTTTTCTCTCCTAAAGAGAAACTAGGGCTGCAGATTCTGGAAAACAGCGACCAAGAAATGCTCTTCCTGTACCCAACGCCACAATTTCATCTGATGGAAAATCTTACCTGTTCAATGTTGAACCGGACCAAATTTTGCGATTAGAAACTACTATTTCTGATTAATTTCAGAGACAACGTTTTTGCCATTAGTAGCCTAATGTAGATAGGTACTACTACGTGAATGAGTCAGAAATAATTGCTCTTCATTGCAAAATGTAATCAAATCAGCTCCTGACTTCAAAGCAAATTGAGCAAAACTATCGAAATCGGTCTTAAGCCACTCCCACACCGTTACAGAATGCATCGTGATTTGGGAATTTCATTTCTCTTATCAGATCTAACACTGGCCTTAACATGGGTCTAAAGGCTCCCGTATACTCCCGTATTCAAGCAACAAGGATTTGTGCTCCCGGGATGTCTGTGTTGCCTTCACATAAAGATGAAGTCGCCCTGAATTCCGTTAACGCCTTCATGCAACTATTCGGGCTCCCGGGATGTCCGTGTTGCCTGCAGCAAACAAGTATGAAGGCGCTCCGAATGCCGTGAACACTGGTCCTACCATTCGTGTTCCCGAGATCTCCGTGCTGCGTGAGTTCAAGCACTCTGATGTGTGTTTCCTCTCCAAAACACGTAGAACACGATTTGCGCAACAAGAATTACCGAAATTCACTATGAACCAAGGGTGGTTTCACGATAACTGGAATAGTTTTGTCGCCGTAACAGACAACACATTTTTTGGTCATATTTGTAGTAGAAATGATAATCACTCGAATTTTTCCGCATTAATCCTCACGGGGCTACGTATTATAACGCGTCCTAATGATTTATTGCTCTACTTCTCAATTAATATTATGTAAATTCCGAAAATGTGCTGCCTGTTACGCGGTAAAAAGTCACTTCGGCGGTGTTTGGGGGGTTTGCAGACGAATGCCGAAAAATCCGCACTTGCCGCCAAAATTGGCGGCCTTTAGACCCATGTTAAGGCCAGTGTTAGATCTGATAAGAGAAATGAAATTCCCAAATCACGATGCATTCTGTAAAATGTAGACCTTCAATGAGCAAAAATCATAGAGTGAGAAAATTCAGTCAGGGTGGGTTCGAAACGGTTACAGGACTTTTGGTCCAATTTTTTTTGTCCATAAATTTTTTCGTCCAATTTATTTTGTCCACGACTTTTTGTCCTTGAAATCTGGTCCAAGTTAAATTCGTCCTGGTAAATAGTTAGTCCTACGCATTTGTTCGTCCAGTGGTATTAGGTCACATTTCTGTGGTCCAGTAAGGTAAAAAAGTTATGTCCAAAACTCACGTCCAATGAGGCCGTTTCAGCTATTTCCTTTCAGCTTTCAGCTACTTTCAGTCATCGTCTGAGTCTTCGATTTGGGGATGGTATATCAACAAATGTCACCCACACTAATAAAACTTCAAAACACAAATATATACCGTCATTGAATTTTAAACGAAAATTTTAAAATAACTTCTTCGATGTTTTTTCTTTCGATGTTGGGATTAAATTTAAGGGTCTCCATAGCTACGAAATAAATTGATCTTAACGCCAATTGATTCACACGCCACGCGCAGATCCACCGGACTCGGACGAAGAAGACTCAGACGATGACTGAAAGTAACTGAAAGCTGAAAGGAAGTAGCTGAAACGGCCTCATTGGACGTGAGTTTTGGACGTAACTTTTTTACCTTACTGGACCACAGAAATGTGACCTAATACCACTGGACGAACAAATGCGTAAGACTAACTATTTACCAGGACGAATTTAACTTGGGCCAGATTTCAAGGACAAAAAGTCGTGGACAAAATAAATTGGACGAAAAAATTTGTGGACAAAAAAAATTGGACCAAAAGTCCTATAACCGTTCGAAACGACCCCTAGCGACACCCCTCTCTTTTGACGAGAAAATATCCATCAGAGCTCATAAATCCTTACCTCGTCTAAAGTAGAGTCCCTTTATACTGAGAGTCAAGACAATTCGGCTCATGGATGTCACAAACGGGAATAAAGATTACAGAAATTGAACGTTTTTTGTAATCTTTGATCGGCCCATTCTCAAATGCCTTTCTCAGTTCCTCCTCTCATTCCGTTTGTTCCCTGCCGAACCCGTAATTCCCTGGTCCATTCCAGATTTTAATCTTTGCAATTGGTGAAAATGTAATCTTTATTCCCGTTTGTGACACTGTGGAGGCCTAAAATACGGGAACCAATCAGAAATGGATTCAAATTGTCTTGACTCTCAGTATAAAGGGACTCTAGTCTAAAGGTTCATTCTCTCGACGAACCTCGATCAATTTTGTTTTGAAAATCGTCTGGAAGCTTGGATGAGTAGGGGCACCGGAGAAGCCGTGTCGTTGAACACGGTGAAGTGACCTCGGTATGAATTAGAGTGACGTTAACGCGGGTCATAAATGGGTCACTCCAGATGCGTTATCAATACGAGTAGTGCACTCGCGTTCCTCCTCCTCGTGAGAATTCACGCCGCATCGCATCCGAGCACGCACTCCAGCACTCCATTGATTTCAGCGATGGTATGTACTTCGTGATAAAGGGCTAACGCCTCCATCGATTTTCAATCCGTCGCAGAACACTGCCGTGCTAAGGGAAAACGCCGTATGAGCCATCAGGCGTTGCCAAGTTTCCTCTGATAAAAACCGAATTTACAGGGAAAATTGCGAATATTACATTTTCCAAAATTTCCAGACGATTTTCTACGCAATTGAATAAAAAATATCTGAAAATTTCCAGGGAAGATATGCATAAATGTTGTCAAAAATACGTCTTTTAACAAGAGAAATTTGGAAACTCTCGAATGTTCATACGGCGTTTTTCCTTAGCACGGCAGAATAGGTCAGTTCCCTTACACACGCCCCAGAATCTTGCCTTGATGGTTAAGGCTCGGATTCATAGCCATTTCTTAAACAGCTCATATGACCATATTTATACTAAAAGGAAGGCAAAGGAATGGCAAAGGCAAAGGAAAGCGAAGGAAAGGCTGCATGTAAAACCTATGCACATAGTTCCTTTTAGCATGAATACGTCCATACCAACGGCGAAACTCCCAAACCATGTATCTCGGTTACTGTATCCCTGATCAGCACAGAATTTGATGTAATCTCCGAAACGGAGTCTTAGGTCAAAATTATGAAGATTGGGTTTTAAACAATATTTTTAATACATTTAAAACGACTTATAATCGGAGTGTCTACCAGTCCCCAAAAGTCTCCGATGTCCCCGAATATCCCCGATTTTGGAAGGGTGTCCCCGAAAGGCCCCAATTTTCTTCTTCAGGCCCCCAAAAATGACGAAAATCGTCCCATACACCGGCATTTTCATATTTTCCCGATAGCCACGGCGGCTTGATGAAACTAGTATTAACCTCATATACTCTCACCTGTTTACTTTTATGTAGTGAATATTTCATAAGCTCAGTCTAGTTATATTATTTATTATTCTAATAATAAATGGTAAGGAAGTCAAAATTGTCATCATGATTATAAATAAAGCAGCCTCTACTCGTTCTGGTTGGTAGCCCCATGTTATAATAATACTCAATACAACAATTATGGAAATTTCAAATATGAAATAAAATATTATCAAATTTCATCTGTAAAAAGTTAGTATTAGTAAAATCAATAGTATAAATATAGATCTATGATAGACTGTGGCTTGGTTAACTTTATTAAAAGTTAGGATAAAAATAATTCAAATTGACAAATTAAAAGTTCAAAATGATAACGGAAATGATGAACGGCGGCTAGGAATAAAAAAAACTGACGTGTTGCTTGGTTTTTCGTACGTTTTCATCGGTTCAACATGATTTGTAAAATTAGTCGTATAAAATGAGCCTTTTAACGCTCTAACTAGCTCCGTTTCTCTTACTATTTCGGGGGAAAAAGTCCCCGATTTTCTTGGAAAATTCCCCTAAAAGTCCTCGAAAGTCCTCGATTTTGGTTTTTCATAACTGGTAGACACCCTGATAATTTTAAAGCAACTTCCCACGCCCTTCCGAATCATGCCTCCGCTTGCGCGCGAGCGACTCTGAAACGTGCTCCCACCCCGGCACTAGTTTCATATCAATTTGGAGCTTTTTCGGTTCGCGTCTGTTTGGATCGTTCAGGTTCTGGCGAGTCTCAAATCGGGATCCAACATTAGTGGATTTAATTAGTGTGCCAAAGAACTCTTGCGTCATATCATGGCATCACTCCACGGCCGTTGCACTGCGTGCCCGTTATTACTCAAGGCAGTGAAATACCGAGATGCGACGTGAGTAGAGTGTGCACTTTTAAAAAGCGCGCCCTGCGCCATCCAGTTTGCGCTTCACGTGCTCACAGACCAGAACCCCACGTTGTCAGACTCTGATAAATCTACAGTGCAATACTGCTGTTCGACGGAAAACCGCCGTATGAACCTTCAGGCGCTGCCAAATTTCCTTTCATAACACACGAATTTCCTGGTAATCTTGTGAATATTTCTCTTCCAATTTTTTAGATAATTTTAATCGCAGTTTCGCCCGAAGTTCCTGAAAATTTCAAGGGAAAATATTTCGCTTTATTCCAGATATCTCGGTCCTTTTTTTTTTCTTTAAAAAAAAATTCATCGTTTCTTTAATATTTTTCTGTTTTCTCTTTGGTTTTGATTGACTTATAAAGCTGTAGCTTTTTTATTCAGAAATATAGTTTCAATTATAATTTGTTTGTGTGTGTGCAGGAGGCTGTGGAAAAACAAGAAGAAGGCGCTAAACTCATCCCCGAACTATCAGCAACCTCAGAGAAGCTAAAAGAAAAGAAAAACTCAAAGATCAGGGAACGAATAGATGACTTGACGAACTCAGCAATTGCTGATTGGAATAATGCTTTGGAATCAGCAGCCGCCGTAGTTCGCAAGTACAACCATGCAGCAGAAACTTGGACTGCCCTCAGAGCTATGTATGATCAAACCAATAAATGGTGTGACACTGTTTTAAACGATGCTGCTTCTTTGAAAGAATCACCCCCGGTAGGATTCTTTTGCTTTACATAAAAAATACATTTTTTTTTTTATTTATTCCCGTTTTTTCTTCTCATCCATAAATCTTTATTAATTTACATCATTTCTATCTAACAATTTATTTTCTTATTTGGTTCTTTTTATGGATTGATCAGGATGTCTCTCTGTATGAGTGATTGAATATTAGATAATTCAAATGATCATCGAATTTAGCAGTATTATCTTGCTTGGTCTAATCGTTAATTTTTGGAAAAAGGCTGTAGGCCAAGATTACTCATAACAACAGGAAGAATCAAAATTTGGTTGGCTGAATGTGAAAAATGCGCATCTCTAGTTTCCTTTCAATCCAATTTTTTTTTTTTTTTTTTTTTTTTTTTTAATTTTGTGTGCTTTTTTTTATAGAATGAGTGAAGATTATTTACAGAAAATTTGGGAGAAACTGTTGTTTGGTCTTCTTTTGAAAAAATAAAGCATTATAGAACAATGATGAAACAAGATATGCATTTTTCGATTATAGTCCATCGATACTATGGCTGTATTCACCAATGAAGTGATTGATTTTTTTAGTTGCACGCCTCTGGCTGAGAAAGTCATTAGTATGCTGCGTATCATCAACTGAAGCACATACCTCGATCAAATATAGAGGCATTGCTGAATTAATTTGAATAATGATCAGCTATGCTGATTAGGATTTCAATCATTTTCAGGTTGAGAGTAATTGTCTTTGCCTTTCTGTGGTCTTCAATCCGTTGACTTCCTTTCAGAATTACAACAAAATTTGGCTTGGACTTTGGCAAGTCCCTTGTCTGAATAACAGGATTAGTGTAAAAAATGAATGGAAACCATCGATTCGATCTGCAGTAGCCACCAACATTTTCCAAAACAGATAATTCAATTAAGATAAGATTGTATTATAAGTCATCTAAGTTAGCTGCATAAAGTTATTTGATACACTGGTATTTTTTCTCTATCACTCTCTTCTTATATTAAAAAATCTAATTAATGTTGTTGTTTTTCTATTGTTTTGTTGTACCTAGGATTATGAAAAGGAGTATTCTGAATATCAAATGATTCTTGAAAAGTTGACAAAAATGAACGATGAAATAGCTGAGGATATTGGTTCGTCGAATCCTGCGTTATTGAAAAGTGACATAGCCAGTCTGACAGAAAAATTGACCAAAGTTCATAGCACTCTCATAACTCTGACTGAGGCAACGAAGGCAAAAGAAGAACTCAACAACCAGTTGAATGAAACAAAGAGTTCTCTTGAGAGTATCAAACAGGTTTGTTGCACTTAATGAATCAACACATGGTGGTCTTATTTTTTCCGGCTGCTCAAAAGACACCTTTTGAAGAGATCATGATAACCAGTCTCTAGATGCCTAAATTTTTTAGGAAAAGTAGCAGTATCATGTCAAAAAAATGATACTTACATAGCGCTTAAAATTTGGAAAAAGTTGTTGTCCTTTCACCTAGTATTTCTTCTGAGAAATTTTCAATCGAGTTTTTAATGAGGGGCTCAATCGTAGGATTTTACGTTTTTCGGGTTTACTACTCTACCCTTTGAAGTTACCTTCCTATTAGTTGTTGAGCAATTTTTGCAGAAAACGAGTAGATATTTGGTCAAAGTATTAGAAAAATTCTCAACTTACAGCTGAACAACCAACTAAAAGATAAGATAAGAATCAGTATCTAAAGACAAAAATTGAATCCTTGAAAATAAAATTATTCACCACTAATTTTCGAAATACTAATGAAAGCAACAGAAGAATGTAGCACTGAAGGGAATAACCACTTGCACATTTCAGCAAAAGACAGTACAAATTGATGGTCGAACTTTTACTCTTAATCGTTGCTGATGTTTTGTGCTCATGCCAGCTTCCTTCATCTCTCCCTTTCATCAGAACTTCAGCTTGGAACTATAATTGAACCAGAAAAGTTTGGCCAGCTTTAGTCACTTCTGAGGCGAAATAGAACGAAATAAAGATTAGTTAAATTGTTACTTCCTGTGATTTCGTTATGAGCTGCGATTTCATGATGAAAAGGCATAAAAAGTTGTCTGAAAGCTTTCATGCCTGACAGAGTGTTGTCAATTAGTACTGCAAGCCCTCCATCCAAAGTTCTAATGTAACTTTATGCCTTGGAAACAAACTTAGTTCAGCAGCCTTGTTCAGATAGTATCTTCCTCACTGTGAAGCAGCAGTTCGAAATTAATTAAAATCCATTCTTTTCAAAACCATCGTCAAACATTTATTTTTTTATCCCCCCCCCCCCCCCACAAGTAACACAATATGTCCTTTGCTTTTGACTATCTGTCGTTTAAATCAAATCTTCAACCATTATATCCCTACTTTTACTTTTAGATGGATGTAACATTGTGAGTACCTGTGGAATTTTTGCGATTTTATTTAATTTGAAAATCAAGCTTTTAATTATTGAGAGCAATGTCTACCTCACCCTTCATTGAATTTCTACCAAAGTATTGAAAATTAGAAATTGTGTTTGAACTTTCTTTCTCATTCAATTCAATTATTCATGTTTGTAGAAAGTCGCAGCCAGTGGTGAAAAAGGTGATCTCAATGAACTTGGCGACCATATTATTCATCTAGGCGAGGTTTCCAGTCAAATGGATGTGATTGAATCAAAGCGTTCTAAATTATTTACCCTAGGTTATGGCGAACAAGTACCATCCACGATGGAAGTTCTGGAGGTAGGTATTCATGAAAAGCAGCATCTTTTTATTAATTTATTCAGTTTTTTAATTGCTCATTTACTTTATTTTTATGAAATTTCTTATTTTCTTTATTCACCTCCCTTTTTTTTTCTCACGGAAAAAAGGAAATATAATTTTGAGCAAGTTTAAATGAATAAATCAAATTCATTCAAATGCATTCTAATTTTCTTTCCTTTTCTTTTTCCTTTTTATTTTCACCATTTCTGTCTAATCTCTCCCCTTTTTCTTTGATCGAAAGCTTATTTCTCTCGCACCATATTTAAACAACTAAGTACATTAAATAAAAAATAAATGGAATGAATACATATCTTTTTCCTCATTTCAGGAGTTCAAAGATGTGTTTTCTATTGCATTCCAAGAGTACCAACAGCTGTCCTCCAAATTAGTGCAAAGTGAAGCCAGTGCATCTGTGCTGGAATTATGCTCGGATTACCGAAATCGAGTGGAGCAATTTTTGACCTCTCCTCTCCCTTGCGATGAGGCCTCTCTCCTCAATTATCAACACTTATGCAAGGTAAACCTCCGTCTTTTCAATAATGCTGTATTCTCTGAGTTAATATCACTTAAATCTAAAGAAGTATGAAAAGAGGTTTCTCAGGGAAAATAGAATCTCCTCCTATCAATCTATGTTGAAGGGGACGACAACCCTAAAATCGAAAATGAGATAGTATTAAAAATTGAAGCAGGAAGGTATAAGAAGCAAAATGGCTCTGTCCCGAATGAAAAATTCGCAAATTCGGCAGAGATATGAAAGGTTGTAAGTCTGATTGGTGATGCAATGCGCTCCCGGTGCGACTGCGGTTCGCACACAGGCAACTCAAAGTCTGGCGCGTTCGCTGTCTGGCGCTGCGAAGTTGCCCTAATAGTCCCACCTAAACAAAGAAAGAAGAGTCGGCCAGGAACAAGCGAGATTGGGGCAAATTAATAACTTGTCGCGAACACGCGTCGGCCACTCGACACTGGAAACAGTATGCTGAGAGCAGACTGCAAAATGTAAGCCAGAGCTCATGACGTCACGCGCTCAGCTGATTTTTCACGATAGCGGCTCAACGAATGCAGATATTCTCCAACAGATTTTGGCATCGTTCATTGCACCTTTTTCAAACTTGTTTTTGAGGTTGCTGTCCCCTTTAATCATTTTTTTTAAAAAACCAATAAAGTGAAGCTTTTGATGAAATGGTACGAAAATAGCATCGCCTGTCTGCATATTTAATGGTGCGCTATTTAATAAAAAAAAAGGTTGAATTATAATATTTAAGAATTGGTTATAATGCCAAATTAATTTCTAATGGATTTCTTTATCATGTACTTACATATCGATGGCTCAAGTGCGAGACCACGTATCTCCGTTTGTGACGTTTTTGACTTCCAGTTGTACTTTACTTTTTCCTTGAAAAACTAGGCAATGTATTTTCTTGAAAACTTTCTTGATTTTTCCTCTCTGTTAGTGTAATATTCTGTATAAATTTCAAGCTAAAAAGTTGCCTTTTTCTTCTTTGAAAAAATAAACTAAGAGCGAAGATTTTGAAACACCGAAATGGAAATATGTTGTGTTGCATAATAGTCATCAATATTCATAAGTGAAGGCCATATCTGGACATCCTCCGGAATCAATTCAACTTTTAATTAAAATGTATCAATTCTCAGAGTTAAATTCTTTGTTTTTGAAGGTCAAGTGTGAGTGTTTTTTAAAATTCATTTTTGTTTTGTCCAAAAATTAATTTAATATTCCTCTTGTTTGATGATTGACAGGTGCATTCACATGTATTGAATTCACAGCGATCGGTGATCCTCCAAAACTTAAACAAACTAGCATTGGAACCATCAGTTGTAGAAAAAATGAACAGTTTGTTGTTGTGTATCCTCGAAAAACATAATCAGGTATGTTCAATTGATCTAATCCACATATCAATGCAAATTTCTCTCGGATTTTCATTTGTTCATATTCTGTGTTGAAAAGGAATTCAAAGGTTTTTTTAAGAATCTGTCCCTGCCCAGATTCCATAAGATGTCTAGATAGTTATTTCAGCTTAGGCTTGCGCAGGCTTAGAAGGCTAGGGTGTTCCACACTACACCTATCAATTTCAGGCAAAACGTAACATCAGCCCATCATCATAGATATAAATGTATCGTGGAAAAGTGATGCATTTATTAATTTTCCTTTGTATAATCTGTAGTCGGAAAGAAGTCCTCAATTTATATTTCACAGAATATTACATTTGTCCAAAATTTGCAGGATGGTCTTTGAAATTTTATTCAACAGAGTGGGGATCATAAAAATCTTTACGCTGTGCGGTAAATGCAAGAAAGATTTTCATTTTGTCTCTCATTATTTTTTATGGAAGGGAAAGGGAAGGTGGTGTTCTTAACATTCTCAGTTGTTTTTTTATTTTTTTATTCTGTCAGGTTAAAGAACAGTTGGACTTGTGGAGAAAGTATCGGCATGAATATTCTGTTTTTTCTGCCTGGCTTAAGTGTATAGAAGATGACAAACGCAGACTGAAGCTTGACTTCATTCGTCGAAGACACCTGGAGACAACTCTCAAGGAGATTAAAGTAAGTTCGATTGTTTAATATTTCTCGTGAAAGGAAGAGGAGAAAGGGTGAAAGAAGAGACGAAAACAACTAATTTGTTTTATTTTGAAAGTATGCTTCAAGAAGTTAAAAATTAAAAATCTTAAAATGGTGGTATGCCACCTAACTGTTTTTTGGGCAATCAAGATATTACATTGCACTGGCTAGGGGGAAAAGGTCGATGTCTGCATCACAGATGCCTTTTAAGCAGAAAACTAGGGATTCTTCCTATGCAGTCGGATCGTTGAAATATTATTGTACTTTCTCGACAGGAGAAAACTGTACATCTGTCTATCTGTGCCGTGTAATAGATCAATTTTCGATGTCTTGTCATGTCATCTTGAATTTCAACAATCAAGTTGCTAGATACTTAGGATTTTAAGTACAGCTATGGAAATTGGAGGAGTGATCTGTCCAGCGCAACATAACCACCAAGAAAGTGTTTCAAGTTGCATTGCAAGTGTGGTTTGAGAAAGAAAGGGGGGGGGGGATTGAAACTTATTTAAAGCGCCATAATTTCTGGATGGTTTTTCCGTTAGAAAAAGTGCAATCTCTAGTCCATTGTAATATCATGAAACTCCATCTCAAAGAGCAATTTAGCAGTCCAGCCGAATTTGATGCTCTAATGTATGAGCTAAAAAAAAAATAGAGCAGTGGGACAGAGTTATCTCTCAATCAGCATGCAAAAAGGGGGTAAAAAATCATTCAGGAGGAACAAAGTTGGTCTTCTTTCACTACCTCATCTCAAGTAATGTGGGAGAGAACTGCAGTTTTATCAATTATGAATCCCTGATAGCTTATCAGCTCAGAAGAACTCATTCTTCCTATGTTGAGTCATATCAGTTGTTTACTCATTTGCATCCTCCCATCACCGAAGCAGAGGTAATCTTTTAGTTTCAAAACTACTTTGGGAGTGCTAATCTTCTCTTTTCTAACAAAAGTATCTTTCAGTCCGTACTGTTTCTTATGAAGAAACTTGTAAATGTAGTTATTATATTTTCCAGCCTAATACTGATAGTGTAAACTCTATAGTGTAGTTCAAGGTGAAAATCATAAACAAAAGTATTCTATACATTGGAAACATTTTCTGTTACAAAGCATTGTGAAGTGTTCATAAATTTAGACCAATAAAGCTTTGGAAAAGAAAGGGTTTGCGGAGCAAGGTGCATACAATGTTAATTTAGAAATGATGTGTCACCTAATCTTAAAACACTGTGAAGACTAAACATGCGTAATTCAATATGTATGTTACTGCTTTTTGAGATGCTTCAAATGAAACGTTTTGTTATTTTGTGCTGACTTCTTGGAATAATAATGACTTGTTTTTTCCTTGATGCAGGTATTATTAAGCAGAATATCTAGTGACGAAAAATGCAAGAAATTGAAAGAGCAATTGGATAGATTACTTCCAAGCTGCAAAGAGCCGGTTTCATCTTCAATTCGTGCCCAATATCGCGAGTGCACGGATGATCTCCAAACCACAGAAGCTATGCTAAAATCATGGGAAGGCTTTTTTGAAAGAACTGTAAGCTCAATGAAAATGTTCGACGAAGGTGTTAGGGACATACAGCTCTCATTCTCAGATGTTATGAACAAAATCAATAGTGCTGACAATTGTTCTTCCATCGATGCGCCAAAAATATTACAATCATTGCAGGTATGTTTACGAATACTTTTTATTAACTTATTTTTTTTAGAAATGTGCAAATTTTTTTGTCTTTTCAAAATATGAAGCGAGCTCAGGTCTTATTTTAATTTTGTTTTGCATTTTTACCCGCGATCCCAATTTATGGTATTGTAAACATTCATTCCGCACAGCGCGGTTTCTGGCCGTTTTCAGAATTTTTGGCCCCGTGTCAACAGCCCCCTTTATACATGCACATTTTGGTGTCCATATGTTGTTTCTGTTTGCAAGAGGATGTCATTTTTATATGTGTTACTGCCTCAAACTGCTCTTAACATAGTAAGCCCTTGTTTCTCTTTGTATTTTCTTCGTCTTTAGGAAAGCCTGCTTTGCTCATCCCCAATTCCTTCTCCACCAGATATTTTGTTTTTATCTAGAATATCTTGGTTTTAAGTTTGAATTCGTTACTAGATGTCCTCTGCATTTTTCAAGTCAGTTTTTTCACTCTTTTACCGCAAAGTACAAAGCAACTTTAAAGAATTATAACGTTACTCACATGTTTAAGATTTTAGGGAGTCCTCTCTTTTCCATGAGCTTTTATTGTTTTTCCACACTTGTGCTATCATCAGGTTCTTTTTTTCTCTGTTGTTTCAGGATCTAAAACAAAATCAACTTCAATCCATCAGGGAAAAAATTAGAAGTCTAGAAAGGATTTGCGATGAAGTTAAATCTAAATTCCACCCCTCCGATTTGAAAGACCTGAATCGTAAGATCAAACATTTCCTGCAACAGTACGAAAATTTAAGTAATCAAATTGATGTCCTATGCTGTAAACTTAGTGATAAATTGGAATCAATCAACGTATTCAATCAAAGGTAATCATCCCCCAAAATTTTTGTTGTGATTTCCCAAAAATCTTTTGCTCCGAAAATCTGATATTAAAAATTGAGTATCGCTGTCAATATCAGCTGGAATTCTATTTTCTTCCTCACTGTAGCAATGAAAAAAATGAGTGAATAAAGGGAAAAGAATCTGCCAAGCGCCATTATTTTTATGTAAATTGCTATAACATATAAACTTCACAGCATCAGTAGATTGAAAAAAGTAATATATTGTCACTTTTTCAAAATTAACTTTTAACCCTTTCCGGTCCGCAGCAGTTTTCCACGGCCGCGAGAAGCGAGGTTAAGGTAGCAGCGATGTTGTCAACAAAGACAGTGGTTTCCAAAGGGTCCACCAGAGGCCGCCACTTGCTGGAGCAGTTGAATATACCCGACATCAGGCCTGCACAGAGGTTAAAACTTTCGGGCGACTATATCCGACATCGGACCTAAACGCATTATTTTTCACGGCGAATATATCCGACATTGGACCGGAAAGGGTTAATGAGTCTGGCAAAAACTAGCCAACAAGAAACTGTAAATTTAATTTGCCCTGTTGAAAGAAATTACCTTTGCTCTTTGAATATTCTCCTTTGAACAAAGTATTTGGTTTGTCCTGTAACAGGTATTCGAAGTTCGTCGAATGGAAAGACAACTTTGACGTGAAACTGGGGAAGCTCACATCTGGGTACATTGAAGCAGATGAAGCACTGCAGCAATTAGATTTGGAATTACTGAAGCATGTTGTGATAAAAGAGCAAGAAATCAAGTGGCTACTGAAGTATGGAGCGGATCTGTTGGCTGCTGAGCAAGACAATCTAGAACAACAGGATCCAGATAAGTTGGCTGAATCAAAGTCTAAGGAATTGGCAAATAAAATGACGAATATTGAAGATTACTGGAAGAAGGTTAAAGATTTGACAGACACCAAAACTAAGAAGTTAAAATCAATAATTAGTGTAAGTTTTTTGCTGAATAGTTCATTTCTGATTTTTTCTAAATAATTTTGACCTTTACATTCCAATTACAAATTTTTCTTGAAGATTAACCAAGAAAATTTTACTCTCCTTAAAATCTGAAGTTGTTAGAAACAGTGCATAATTCACAATTATTGAACCAATATTTTTCTGAAGGGCCTAAGTGTCAAAATGCAAGTTTCCAGGAAAACGGGAAAAAGGTGCCATTTAGCTGTTCAATCTCTTCCATGTGAAATACATATAACTTTGATATGTGTTTTTTTCACTCTATCTCATTTAGCCGTATTTTTGTTTCAGCATATGCAAATTCTGGAAGAGAAAATAACACCGTTGAAGAAATGGTTTGACAAAATCGAAGCTGAACTTAGCATCATTCCCTCTTTTAACGATTTTAGTGATTCCACCCTAACTAACATTTTGGAAGAGCATCAGGTTGGTTTCTCTCTACCCTTGAATCAAAAGATTTCATATTGATCAAGTGAAGTTTTATTGATTGGATTTTCAAAATTTTTCTGTACAGGTTTTTTGGGGATTTCACTTTTCCAAGAAAAAGAGACTTCTCTGAAAAGTGAATAGGGAACATCTTCCACAATGGACATTTTCTACGGGTCCACTGATGCCTTCTAATTGAAAGTATCATGGAAGCACCTTCACATTTAGTCCTATTTTTCACTCTTTAGAAGTTCATCTCTGGGCGTTGACGAAGAGATGTTGCGGTTTCAGTTGCCCGATAACCTCTGAGAAGACAGGCACATGTGGCGTTTGGGTGTCGTAGAACGCCACAGTGCGTTGTAAAGCGACTTTATATATATACAAGTTCATCTCTGCATGATCTTAATGATCTTTGCCTCAAATTTCTGTAAAGGTGCCTCTTACATTTTTAACTTATGTATATGTTCGCAGAAATTAGCACTAGAGGTAAGCCAGAAAGGATCCGAGGTTGGATATGTGGTCAATATGTGCGGATTGATCATCAGTGAGTGTGATTATTGTAACATGTCATTGAATGCGAGCAAAATCTCACCAGCTCAAGCTTTGGTCGAAGAAAGGTTCGTAACAAGTTCATGCCATCAACTTAATTATCTCGTCTTGCCGCAAATATTTCTAAAATCTATTTTCTTCCATTCTCAAAGCCTCCTCCCCTTCACCTTCATCCTTTCATTTAGTAATCCATGCGTTTGCTGTTATTTACTTGAAAATGTGTCATGTTTTTTATCGATGGCCCAAGTGCAAACAACGTATCTTTGTTTATTACGCTGCAGACTTACTGTCACTCTTTATTTTTTCTTTTGCAAACCAGTTACTGTAATTTCTTGAAAACTCAATATTTTTCTTCTATTAGCAGACTATAGTTTGTATCAATTTCAAGCCTTAAAGTTGATTTTTTCTCCTGGAAAAAATATAAAGGAACAAAAATTTTGAAACGCTGCAATTGAGATATGTATATGACTGATTTGTTACCTCCAATAGTTCAAGTTACAATATCTCCCTCCCAACAGTTCAGTACACGAACATAATTTTTTTTGAATGTGCATCAGCTGGATGGGCAAACACAGTCGCCTTTTCCTCCCTGTGCAAGTCGATTTTGTTTTGGCGAAACCGCGCTATTACAGATTTTACAGATACAGGTTCAGCTGACAATGAGTCAGATTTCTATTCTTTTTACGAAAAGCACCAACAGTTTGTTAGTATTAGCTCCTCTCTACCATCTTTCCTGATTCAGCCTTTCCTTTTCCTCACATCATGGGAACCGTCTGTTTAAAATAAAAGAAAGGCTTTGTAAACGCACACAAGGAGGTGGCTTTGCTAGACTAGAAAACTATGATATAGCAAGAAAAAGCGACATGAAGCAATTTCTGTACCTACATTGCACAACAAATAAGTTCAAGTTCAAAAAAGAAATATCTCTGCACAGATTCAAGTAATTTTTTGACGTTGGGAAGTAAAATGAATTTAATGGTATCCTATCAAAGGCCTGTCCTAATACAGGCAGAGTCGTTATGCCACGTGTTGTTGCAGGCTTTTTTTGAAATCAAGGACCAGTTGTTTTCTTTCAATCTAAATATGTAAAAAGTTCTAACCTTCTAATCGGTATATTTTCATGTTTTTCATTTCTCAGGTGGGCAAATGTTGTCACAAGTCTAGCAAATAGGAAGTTACAAATTTCGGCTCGGTGGTCCAAAGTGCAAGAATTATTGTCAAGCCTAAATTGCAGAGAACTTCCGCTAAGAACGCAGGAGATGAAATTCAAGACTCTATCCAGTTCCGTAAATTTTGCAGAGCTTAGTGATAGAATTTCTCAGATTGAGGTACGCAAATTCGTTTTAAAGTTTCTTTCTCATGATTATTTTGCGTTTATTTTCACATCACTACACAGTGCAAAACTTTTTAAAAAGAATACTTGAGACAAATGGCAATCGACAGTTACCAAATTAAACGAGATTGTGGAACAATTTCTGAAATTTTTTCAGAATTTTGCTATGGCGACTTTTTGCTGTCTTGCAGGTACTTGCAAGTTTTTATAGTTTTTTACCGAAACTTCAGGGTGTTTCAGCGTTTTTCAAAGGTTTTTGCAGATATCTGTAGAACTTTCCCAGTTTCCAGGCAATGAAATTGCGGATGAAACAGAATGAAACGGAATTGTTAGTAGTCAATCAGAACAAGGTGCATGGAGGCATTGCGTCCTTACACGAATTTGCATTTATTTTGTTAGAATGCAGTAATTTTTTTAATTTTTAATCACAGCATTAGACATTTAAATTGCTTTGATTCTAGACAAGTTTACAGGGTGTTTTTATAGAAGAAGTAAAAGTAGATTTTAAATTTATACACAGCCTTATTCATCGCAACTTCATATACTCTCCATCTTAGGAGGAACAAAACATTTTTATGTTATCATCATATGAATATGTTTTTCTCTTGGTGGAGTTGAAATTAATCGGTGTCTTTTTCTTTTCTTCTCTCTCAGTCTTTAGCAATGGATTTAGAATGTTACGTCAATGAAGAAAAGATGATAGAAGATTCCTTACGAGGATTAGCGCGAGAGAAGTACATCGGCAAGTTAAAGGAAGCAGTTCAGCCTGTCTTGCAAAGATCAAGATCTTTAAGGGAAAAGGTTTACAACAAAATCACAGAGCTGCAAGATAGATCCCGCTTATTCAATCGGTTCAGCGGAACTTTCAGTCAAACTCAAACCGCTCTGATGAAACTTGATGCAGAACTGGCAAGGATCGAATTCGGCAAAAGCACTGACCCAAGTTCCGAATTTGATCCTGTTAGGACTTTCCACGTAAGTTGTGTATATACCTTTACTTTTTTATGAAGTGACTTGTAGAGTTTCAATGTTTTCTTCTTTCATTGTAGAATTACTTACCTGTGAATTTACCTTTAAAATGTCGCTACGTTAAAATGAACATAATTGACCCAGCAAAGAATGGTATTCTCTTAAGTTGAAATTTTTGGAAGGTATCTGGACCATTATTCAGCAGAGACTTTTTATCAGGAGGCACAGTATATTTTTGCCCAAAACTTAATCTTACAAGAGGCGCCATTTTTCGAAAATGCAAAGCCCCCCTGTTTTTATTTTTCAAACCAGGTCTGTCAAAGAAAATTGAAGCAGGAGGAAAATTAAAAAGGAGTTGTCTTATACCCCTTTTTACTAACTCTCTTCTTTCTTTTCCTCAGGTTACATACTTTTGTTTACCTTTAGCTTATTTTTGTTACATTTTGTTTACTTCTAGCTTCTGGATTTAGAAGCCACAAAATCACTTCTCCAAGAATCAGATGTTGTAGGTGCTGAACTTTTAGAGGATGAAAAATTGAAGGAGAATGAACTAGTTGTGAAATCCATGATGTCTAAAAATCAAGAATTGTGGGAGAAGATCTTGGAAAGGCACTCAAAACTGAAAAATCAATTTGGAGCGCTGTATCCTCCGAGGCAGCTTGTAGATGAAAGCATACAAGTTGAAACGCTGAGAATGGAAACAGACTCCAGTGTACAAGTCAACACTCTTCCAAGCAGTATTTTACGACACCAAAATTATGTCAAAGAATTGAAGTCTGCACTCTTAGAGTTTGAAAGTAACATTGATAAATTGGAAGAAATTCTGTCACAAAGTTCAGTTGATGACGTGGTAAGCATCTTTTTTCTCATTCTTCAGCCTTCATAGATAATTATTTTGTTTAATAACAAACCTCTATACCAAACATACAGGGTGATCCAGACCACCCGTCCACTATCTTTTTCTCAAAAACGGCGGAGAATTGAGCTTCGGGACCAAAACTTTCATGGGGTAAATCGACCCCAAAGAATCGAATGAAAATATTTTCAGCCCCCCAAAATGGCCCCTTGGGGGGGTTTTGGGGGGGAGCCCCCCCGTTTCTCGAAATTTTCAAATAGGAAGGGTATGTTTTGACTTTGGATTCGAAATCTACGGCAAAAAATAAGAACATTTTACTCTGTGCACTTTTTCCCTAAACCCCCATTTTTTTGAGATATGGGGCATTTACGGGCCTTTTTGGGGCGATTTTCAATTCGATGCTGTAAGCGGCCAAATTATCCAAATTTCAAAATCTAAAAATCCCCTGAGAGGAGAGGTCAATACCTTTCTATTGATGTGCCACATGACCCCTGTTGCTCAAAAATTTTGGGGGCCACGACCCCCCAAAAATTTTGGGGTTTTGGAGGGCCGTAAGTCGAAAATTTCAAATAGCAAGGGTATGTTTTGATTTCAGATTTGGATTCTACGCGAAAAGTTAGGTAGAATTGATATGGCGCAAGGCTTGTTTGCTCCAAATTACTGAAGAACCCCATTTCCCCATAAGAAGCCGTGTATTTTTGGAGAAAATAAGGGGCAAAAAAAAATTTGAGAAAACAGGCCATGCGCCATATCAATTCTACGTAACTTTTCGCATAGAATCCAAATCTGAAATCAAAACATACCCTTGCCATTTGAAATTTTCGACTTACCAAAACCCCAAAAACCCCAAAATTTTTGGGGGGTCGTGGCCCCCAAAATTTTTGAGCAACAGGGGTCATGTGGCACATCAATAGAAAGGTATTGACCTCTCCTCTCAGGGGATTTTTAGATTTTGAAATTTGGATAATTTGGCCGCTTACAGCATCGAATTGAAAATCGCCCCAAAAAGGCCCGTAAATGCCCCATATCTCAAAAAAATGGGGGTTTAGGGAAAAAGTGCACAGAGTAAAATGTTCTTATTTTTTGCCGTAGATTTCGAATCCAAAGTCAAAACATACCCTTCCTATTTGAAAATTTCGAGAAACGGGGGGGCTCCCCCCCAAAACCCCCCCAAGGGGCCATTTTGGGGGGCTGAAAATATTTTCATTCGATTCTTTGGGGTCGATTTACCCCATGAAAGTTTTGGTCCCGAAGCTCAATTCTCCGCCGTTTTTGAGAAAAAGATAGTGGACGGGTGGTCTGGATCACCCTGTATTTTCTGCAACAAAAATCAATTTTTATCATGAAGTTTTGTGTAAAATTTCTATATTTGGAGTATATAAAGTGGCTTGATTTACCTGCAGTCACACTTGTGCATTAGATTGGTGTTTCATACACTTTTGATCTGCCGATCTACAGAAATACGTCGCATGTCATGTCAACGTTAACATCTGGCCTTTTACCGAGTTCCATCCAAAAAAATATTTATTTTTAGAGTAGTTATGAATATTTTGTTTTTATTAAAATTTTTTAATATTCATGATTAAATTGTGAATTACATCCCGAGAAAAAATGTAGAAAATGTGTAAAAAAAAATGCTCAAGAATATTCAGAAATCTGGTTTATATAATGCTTTTTCCTCAATAGAGAAGTACTGACTTTGATAAAGCTTTTTAAATTGTCTATTTACGCTGAGTCGACAAGATCAAGCAGCCCTCATTCACACTGTTCAGCAGCTCTCTTAAATTTATGAATTGCATCGTCTGAAATACCATGTTTAATCCTTATCCTTGTATTTCCAGCCAAATCTAACCAGTGAATTACGAGTGGAAGCATCAAATGCCGTTGCCAGTTGTGAATCTTCAGCGGAACTAGTAAAGCATTTAAATTGTTTAGCGTCCAAGAATGACTCTTCTTACTCTCCACAAGTAGTATTTCTAATGAACAAGTTCAGCCGTTTGAAAGCAAATCCTCATATTTTAAAACTAAATAATTTCAGGTTAGCTTCGCAACTCTATTTTTTCTTGATTGCTTTATAATTTTGTTTCTAATGCACCTTGTCATTTTGTGTAGCATTCATATCTCAGTCGATTATAGAAAAGGAAAATTTAGCATAGACTTACTTTTCTATTGTGTTTAAACACAATAGCACCAAGGAAGCAATACTACAATGAACAAAGACCATTCGAAACACAAAGATAAACCCTCTTATATAAGTGCATTACTGTTCATGAGTAAATTAAATGTTTCTTGCTTTTCTCTAGCAAACCTATCTGCAAAGAGTTTGACTTCTTGAAAGTAAGTAATAGTTAGCCATTTTGCAACATTTGTAGGCTTTTACCCGATTTAACAACTATTTTATTACATTTCCTGTTTGTTTTATAGTGACACGCAGAAATATAACTGTCCTGTTTGCTCCGCTGGTAGCTGGCAACATCTAAATTCCGAATTATGGAGAATGGAAAAGTGGTTACAAAAAGCTGAACACGTTCAAGAACCCCTTCAGAGGATTCCTTCTAACTTGGAAGACCTGGAAGACACAATAGTAGAGAATAAGGTGAGGGCCGTTGAGTTAAGTCGCAATAAGTATGCAAAAGAACTTGAAAAATAAAAATGTAAAGAATCAAAATCGAATAAATGCAGCAATACTCAAAACTATGAGCTTTGCCATGAGCATCAAAACTGGACACAAAGATATTTGAAATCATTCAAATTAATTACTAGTACGTGAGGATATTTCTTCTCTCAATAACGCATGTTTCTAGCCATGGCTGTGTTTCTAATCCCTCCAAATTTTTGATGGCAAAAAGGGGAAAAAATCCGCCTTCCTCATCGCAAAATTTCTTGATTGCTCCCCAATGCAAGATATTCAATTGTAATTTTTCAATTAATTTTCTGTGCAGAAATTCTTTATGTACCTGGAAAGCCACAAGAATTTACTCAGAGGTCTAACTTTAGTTGGATCCCACCTTGGAACCCACATTGAACCTGATTTGAAAACCGAAGAGTTCAAAGAAAAACTCGCTACCATAAATGTTCGCTGGAACAAGATCCAAGAAAATGCCTTAGCTTGGAAAACAGAATTGCAATCCGCTTTAACAGAGGTGAGTTCTAATTTTATCATGGGCTGGAGAAACCTGTATTTTAATTTCTATCAGTGAACGCAGTAGGGTTTCTGGCAGCCTGGAAAACCTGGAAAATCAGGGAAAGTCAGAAAATTTAGTACGACCTGGAAACGTAAGGGAATGCCAAGGAAGGATCACTTAAAAGTCAGGGTTGTTGAAAAGAAAAAATCCAAGTGAAAGTTTTGTTCAAAGGTCAGGGAAAATCCAGAAATTCGAAAATTTCTGAGCCTCAGAAAAGCAGAAAATGTCAGGGACTTAATAGTAACCTTGAAAAGTCAGGAAATTTGTGAGCAGTGCTCAGCAGAAGTCAGTGTAATTTTATGTAAAAGTGGCGTCAGAAGGCCGAGGAAAATAAGGAAATTCGAAAATCATGATGTCTGAATAGCAAGAAAGTCAGGGAAAGTTCGGGAATGGGAAAATGAATTTTTTTTTGGAAACCTTGCATGTAGATATTTGACCAGTAAATCACAAATTATGTCAGTTTGAGTGTAATTTGCTCTCAATAAAAGTGAAAATTTTAATCTTAGAATTACTTATAAGTGCAATTGGTCAAGCCTATTTCGCTTTCCGGCGGTTCGCAACTCCTAACCACGCAGGTCACAAATCCTTCCGAAGTTCAGTGACAGTTCCCAATAATCTCAACCACTTTTTATCCCCTTGCTACCAACCTATCATTGATTATCCCCTTTGTTTCCCAATCGGGAGGCCTTCTTGGCAGCCTCTCTTTTGTCATCCTGTTAACCGAAAATTAGCAGACCAGCTGGTTTTTCACGACCTAAAAGTTTTACAGACCTTGTCTTTTCTATCATTTTAATCTTCCCCAGATTTTTCCATTTGATCAACAGTATTTCTCTCTAATTGCATCGATATATCTATATTAATATAAGCATAAGCATCCATTTTATCCATCCAGAGCAATGTAATTGAGTTAAAAAATAAAATTGAAACTGAGCCTGGTAAATTTCCGAAGACTAAAGTGGAGGATGTGGCGTAAATGAAACATGGAAGCATTCATGGTTCCTTCATCCTCTCATGTGACTCACAGAGAAGATTCTCAAATGATTCAAAAGGATTTGATTGCATTTATGTTCTAGTCATCATGTATTTTTGGTTTTTGCAGAATGAAGAATTGTACGAGAGTCTGCAAGACTGGGGACAGTGGATGGAAAAATTGGAAAATTCTGTTCAAACGATAGTACCAGTCGACCTGACTCAAGGAGCAAGTGTTTTGCTAGCCCACTACAATCATCTCAGGGTGAGTTCACAGTGCATTTTATTTTGCTTAACGTCCTCTTGTTCAATTCTTCAAGACTCAAAGTGTTGAATAATTCTTTAGAAAAATCTTGTGACGCAGAGTAGAGCTGTGGATACCTTGACTGATCTGATTAAATACGTTCACTACGTATGCAAGTAATTTTCGTTCTACAACCTCCTAGACCTTAGAGACCTCGTCCCTTGAACCTAATTTAACAATTTTGTAGAGTCCAAATGCAGCTGTGTGTTAAATGAAGTTTTCTGTGGATATCATTCCCTCAAAATATTTCTTATCCCCTCATCCCTTCAAAAATTTGGATAGAACTCTTAGTTCCTCCCACAGTTTTCAAATATATAACGACGGTGAAACTCCCAAACCACGCATCTTGTTTGCCGTATTTAAAAATCTCTGCTCCTATTTTATATTTGCAAAGGAGACAAATTAACATCACTTCTTGAAGTTTTTTCAGAATTTTCCTCACAGCGTGAAAAAAATTCACAGAAGTTTTTACTAATTAACATTCGGTTGTTCCCCATTTAAAAAAGGAACTATGGCAGAAAGTCTGCTACTTCACAAACTGAGGGACGTGCTTTGCGAGTTCCACTGTTGATATAGTACCTAATGATTATGTGCATTTAAGCACTCATGCAACCTCATGATTTCAACATTTTCTTCTTTTAATTTATTCAGGACGTACATCATGATCTGGACAGATTAGAACCGCGCATCGTATCTGTCCATCGTGTCGTTCATGAGCTACTCAAAGAATCCGAAGATCACGTCCTTTACACCCAGTTGAGCGAGCTTCGCACTCGTTTGAAGACTCTTTATACTATACTCAGGACCAATATACTAAAACTCGGGTCCACTCTTGGTAAAGACCCTTGTGAAATCAGGAGCGTCTTTTCTTCAGCGTCCCATTCACTGCTTTCACTCTCCAATGAGGTAATTACTCAAGAAATTTTCTTCTAAATGATTAAAACGGAAAAAAAATAAATAAATAAATAAAGAATCAGCAAAGACTGAGGTTACCAAAGTGAGGTAAAAAGCAGCATACATTTTGTAAAAATCGAAAGAATAAATTGAAAACTTACATAAAATTAAATAAAAAATGCTGACACGTTTATGACGCCTACTGCTTCCCATTATGAGCATGAGGACAAGTATTTGGAAAGGTTCCGGCATTTTTTATTTAATTTTTAGTGAGTTTTGGGTTGATTACTTTGATTTTACACAATTCATGTTGATTTTTTACCGAACTACCTTCTGTTTTTATAAAATTTCAGACCTGTGAACTCCAAGCTTAGCATTTGGATCCATCAAACAATACCGATAAGTCTTTAAATTTTCTGTTAACTTTTTACAAAGAAAAATTTGATGATAGCCTCTTGATCCATTGACTCACGAATTTGCAGCATGTTAATGCTTTAAAATATTCTTTTTAGCAGGAAAAAATGAGCCAAAAATGATCAACTTCAAACTTTTACAAATATTCTTCAAACTTACTCAATAACAATGCTGAAAGTCAATTTAAATATTTGAAATCATCACTGTTAAATAAAAGGTCGAAAAATTTCCCTGAAAATTAAAGCTTTTTTCAATACGAAGGTTTCATTACGCAAAATTTATCCAAAGGCGGGCAGAAGTGAATTTTTGCAATTTGTCTCAGTTCTCAACTTGCCTCTTTAACGTGGGCAATGCTCTTTGAGTCATTCCTATTTGATCTATTTATCTTATCCTGTATTTAAAATTAGGAACTTACCTTTTATTAATACTGGAAGTATCTGGTATTTTTTTACTACATAGTACATAAGTGTTTTTGGAAGCTTCGATCACATTAAGATTTTCTTGTCTTTGTTTTGTTTTTTGCGACTAGATTATTTTAAATCATAGAAACTGACAAGAAAAAAGTATCGGTGTATTGTATTACTGTGCTCTGTCAGCTAAAGATTCTTTACTTGCTCAAGTCTCAAGTAGTTTGGAATCGAAAAACGGCTGTTACCTCTTGGAAGGTGAAGTATTTATAATGTGAACTTTAAGCTTCTAAAAAAAATTAGTTTTCACCTTCACCTTTCGTGCTCAGTAGTTGTTTTTAAGCACTTTCTAGTTGTCAATTTTTAATTTTATTTTTTGTTTCTTTTTATTTTTTGTTTTGTTGATTTTTGTAGCTTTTGGATGAGACATCTGGTGAGGCACTTGCTAATTCAGGCGGAATCGACCAAACTGACGCAAAGTAAATATCTTTCAGTTCTTATTTTGTAATAAGATGAGATTTTATTTATAAAGAGATCATAAGGTTCTTTGGTAACATGTAGGTTGGCACCATATGTGGGTGGAAATTATCGCAAGGGTGTATTTCCTACTCGCAACAAGTAAAATATGAATTATGTTCCTAAAGATATTTAAAAGTTTCTTAGAGCTAGAAGCAGCTACAGGATTATATTTATGATATCATTCATTAATCATTAATCCTTATGCAGGTCAATAGAATCATTTTTCATCTCCACAGTGGTATCACTTCTTCCTTGTCAATTTTGATTATTTGCACTGTAAAATAAATCTTGTTTTCATCCCTATTACATAAAATTCAACTCGTCTCAAAAAGTCAAGAAGATTCTTTTATTACTTCTCATTGAGATTAGAAGTGGACAAGGTAGATAAATCATTCACATTATTATTTTTGCACGACCAATTTTCAACTCTCTTAAAAAAAACTGCCTTGAGAACCGTTGACTTGATTGAAGAATGGGTGTTCATCTTTTCGTGACTTGACTAGTATGGCAAGAGTAAAAAACAAAATATTCCCAAGTATTTGCTCAGTTTCAAGTGATTCCAATTTGTTTTTGGTAGGAGAACAGTGCTAACTATCTGATCTGTTTTTGCTTTGCACTTAGAATGCACTATTCTTTCAGCTTGAGAAATTGATTCATAAGATTTTACTGAAACTTTTGAGGATGATCTTGAGCGTGGAGAAAAATCATGGAAAGTTTTAGGTTATGATCTTCGCTTTTTTCACCTCAAGAAGCTTTTTGATAAGAGTTTTTTCAACATCTTTGATCAAAACACGTGATTTTTGACCAAAGCTATGTCCATTTACTGGCTATTTTGCATCATGATCGGAATCAGTTAGCGGCCTCAACAATCTGTCTTTAAAATAATAAATGTTTGCATAGTTCCATATTTTCAAAAGCATCACTTTTCATACAAAAGGTCAACTTCATGAATGAGTTTAATGAAACGGGATTTTTCCATCAAGAGCAATGAATGTATAAATTCAATTCTTGAGAGGATCGCACCGTTGATTTTTTTTTATTTTATTTTGTCTTTCAAGAAATTTGTGACATTACAACTTTTTTCACATGTATTTTCTATCTGAATACAGAATATTTCAAGTCAGGTAAGTAGCTTTAGTCAGGGAAATTCCTTGCAAAAAGGGGAAAGAATCCAAGTAAGGTTTTGCTGTTAAACCGTTAAAAGTAGCTGGAAATAAACTTAATCCCGCCTTATTGTTTATAAGTACTCTTTTAAGTTTTTCTCATTATTTTTTATATCTTTCCAGTGCATTGAACCTCTCACAAAGTCCTTGGTTCCTGCGACGGCGAGTGTGGTGTGCAACTCTCCCAGTTCAGGCAGTCATGCTACTCATGCTCGCTGCAGCCGTCTTGATACCTGGAGTCGAGGACGATTATCTGTGCATATTTTCAGGATCAATGGCTCGCAGTTTCAATTTTCATCTGCAGTACCCAGACGGAGCCCCACCTATTTGAAGCATAATCTTTTCTCCGTTCATCCTCTCAGGTTGTCAGTGACTTAATCTTATTGCCTTGTTACCTACTTAGTTTGTAAAGTTAATCATAAATTTTAAGATTTCTAGATGTGATACTACTTTAAATCGAGTCTAAAATTCTACTTATAAGTTATTAAATGAGCTCAGTCAAGCGGCCTTACTTTCACCAGTTATCAATTTATGAAAACACTCTTGAAGAACAAAATTTTTAATGTACTTAAAATGTGAGTCTTTTTGAAAAATTTCTCATACCATATGATTTATATAAAGTTTCGTAGTCATGTAAACCTGACCTATTATGTTTGAATTTTTTAATTTGTGTAAAAGTAAATCTGGTCATCGGTTTTGAGTCATTACGCTTATTTTTCTATTCATTGTCTCTGATAAGTTACCGCCGAGTCGTATTTGTAGAAGTCTGTTTTTTCAGCTCCTATTTATTGCAAAAACTGTTTTCAAGGCTAGGAGGAAATACTTTTCTTCTCTCTTTAAATTTTTCTCTGTGTATCAACAGATATCAAAAGTTCTGTTGAATTGTTTTCTTGTAGTTTTAATTTTTTTTTTTTTTTTTGCAGTCAGCTATGAAAAAAATTTCTGTGTAATGCTTTGTCTCCTTGGGAGAATTTTTGTCTCCTTTACTGGCAAACTGTGAGTAAATATGTGTATGATCAAGATTTTAGCTCCTTTTATGTTAGCTTCAACCAATTCAATTGAACTGACAATACTGATTTCTTTGAGCTATTTTGGTCTAAGTTCGGAGCAAGTTTTTCCATGGAGACAAAGCAAAATTTGTAATTGATGCTTGTATTTTTGAGTAGCAAAAGTATCCTTTGTATTTTTCTGCGGGTACATCAAATTCTCAAACATGTTTGGTTTAATCCTTTTAAGTTCTATGGACCCGACGATATTTTTATCCATTTTTGTAAAACGACTTCTCCAAAATTACATGTAAGGATTATTTGCCCTTAATTTACGAACTGCGAAGTGGCGGCTGGGGGGTAGAGTTCATTACTAGCTTGGGGTATTGCTAAAGGGTTGGAATTCCGGTATATTCAAAGGGCTCGGGCGTATGAAAGCCAATCAACCCTTAAATGATAGCTCAAGCTACTCATCTGACTCAGCCCATCTGCCACCACTTTTTGTGTTGTTGACTACGGTCACATGATCCATCTCACCAATCATTTTTTTCAGTAATGCCATCATACAACCAATCTAAGTTAGCAGATATGGTAAAAATCAGTTTCCTAACTCATTGTTAGTTTTGATGACAGTAGTGATTTCTGATCAGTGTGCTCAATACTGAATAAGAAATTGAAAAACCAATATTGACGCAGATTCTGATTGTGTGACCAGGACCCATACGTGTGTTCAACTTAGCACAGAAAAGGTTTTATGTTAAAATCATCATCAAATTTTTTCTCATAACTTGGGATTCTTACTGTAGCCATCAGAATTGCAATTCCATGTAAAAGATACGTCTGAACCGTCATTGAATTCCTCACAGTTTTTCTATTTACGGATTTGTACCTCAATGTAGTAACATACAGAGTGATCTAAAAGTCCCGCACGACCTCAATAACCCCGAGGGTTTTTGCCCCATTTTATGATGGATCCCTTAACATTTTTGGGGGTCTCAGAAATCGTTTCTTCTGACCTCGGGGCGCTCACAAAATTTCAAAACTCCATCTTAAACAGTTCCAAAGTTACACCGATGATGTCTAAAGCAGGTGGTGCGGAATTTTTGGATCATCCTGAGGAAAGGATTGCTCTTATGCTTAAGAGGGAAATGAGGAAAGAGAATTAATAGGAGTACCATGTCAGTATACCAAATGTAGGCTTCCATTGTCACACATACATTAAAAGCACCATGATAAAAAGAAGTATGATTACTGCTACCTATTTCATTATTCGCTGGAGAGAAGTACTGATAAAGTTGATTCCAAGGTTCCTTCTTTTTCTCTCACTATATTTTGTGTTTCAGCGAATTATTTGATATACAGTGTAGCTGTGAGCCTCCTCCTAACATCGAACGCAGTAGTTTTACCAGAATCCCTTACAGTACTCATCCTTCGGTGGGTGCCCTCAAACACTGCAATGACTTCAATGACATGTCCTTGCCGAACATTCTAACCTTTCCTTTCTTAACAACATCTAAGATCATGGCAACCATCCATCTGTATCAATGTTGGTAACCTTGCCTTGCAAGAGTGTGTGTTGTGTGCTGAGTGTTTTACACTATTAAGCTGGTAGCTTACTTGCTATCTGTAGCACTCGTCCCTGCTTTGTCTGCTGTCAAACGCAAATTTGAGAGCTCGTCTCTCCATTTACAGCGGGGAGCCTACCATGAGGGGCAAGCTATATGACTTAGCACCGCACATATTTATCGGCAATATCTACATAACAGTGTTGGCAGCAGTATTATTGATTTCGCAGGTTTCGGCCTTAGCTCCCTGTCTGAAGCCTGCTGTTCACTGTGCTTTTAAACTGTTCCTAAACTGGAACTTTTACTGTTGCGACAGAAATTCACAGTTGGTTGAAGGTCTTTCTTCCTCTCATTTTAAAAAGAACTTACCAGGAAAAACTACTGCAGGGTATGCAGTGGACGTGGCTCAGAAATGTTCCCCATCTTTAAGCAGAAGTAAGGATCATTGGAATTGACTCATTATTAGATTCTTTCACTTGCATGACATTTTGAATTCAATCTTTCAATGGAACTTTCATCTACTTTATTTCTCCTCTTCAGGGTTTTTAATGTTCAGACTTCCCCTCTATCAGTTTTATGACCTCACCAGATTGTCGACGATACATGGTTTTCTTGTCCAACCCTCCTTTTTTTCAAAGTTTGCATACTCCAGCATTTAAACGATTGACCTTAGGCTCCGTACAAAGCCATGAATGTTCCCTAAAAATTTTTTCCCTTCGGTCATATTGTTACTTTCTAATTTATTTAGTTACTTACAGTGGACTTAAAGTCTTGTTGTTTTGTAAAGTGTTATTTGAAAGACAGTCTATAAATTTTGTATGTTGAAGTTCTATTTTTGTTTTGATATTTCTTTGTTTTAAGTTTCTAATTTGTCAAAATGTACCATGCATTCTAATGAATCGTTTGCTTTTCTTTAATATTTCTTTTCTTTAATCCTCTACACCTGTAAGGTAATTTTTTATGGGGTTAAAATATGATACAATCTCTGCCAAAATGTTGCTACAATGTTACTTTGGTGGTAATGTTGTGCCATATTTTTTTGCAATCACTCTTTGCCAGGTGGGTAGTTAAAAAATAGAACTTCTGGCAAATAAGAAAATGATCTATACCCATCTAGCCATCTAAAATACATTTATTAAACTAAGAAAGTGGGGGGCCTTAAAATCATTATACTGAGTGAAAGGACATTTTTCAGAGAGAACGGGAGGAAGGAGTTGATTTTCTCTATCTAATGAAATGTTGCTATGAGATCCAATCCCTATACAATGGAAAGCCTGATCTCTGCGGCTTTGAGTGTCCGGAATTAGCAGAAAGTAATATAATCTTCCAAGCAATTTCAGAATATCAGTGTTTTTATAAAAATACCGTATACCTCTATCAAAATTGGGTCAGAAAAAGGTCTTATATCATTATGATAGCACATTTGGACGTATTTCTATCAAACAGAAATATAGGGTGTGCTCTAGAAAGCTGGGTAAGAAACAATGTGGTCAGTGGACGTGATTCCCTTTGAAGAATTGGAAAAGCTGGATTTTAAATTCAGCAAGCAGAACTATGTGTCAACTGAATGCGGGATATATGAGCGGCAGGCATGGTATGTGCCAGAGCGTTGTGGACACGGCACATGAATTAAAGCGCACCACGAGGAGCTGCATCCATTTCCGTTAACGTCACTGGTGCTTTATTATTCTCATTCACTATCACGTCCAGAGAACTGACGAGCACACCCCATATTTCTCCCACATAAATCTGTTTGATAGAAATACGTCCATTTGTTCAAATAAATGGATAATTATAACCATTTGCTACACGAGCCCGCTAGCCGAGCGATCGCCGAAAAACCAGCGTTTGATATAATTTTACCAAAGGGTCAAAAACACTCGTTTTTCAGCGTTCCTCGGCTCAGGGAGCTCCGACGAGTCTCGGGACCGGGCGCAATCGATTCTACGCCTCAAACTACGTACGATTCGACACTAATCTCGAAATTTTTTTTCCCCTCCAAAATCGAGAAAAATCCACAGGGGTACCATGGACTAAATTTTTGGGGTCAAAATCGAAAGTTCTCCGATCGAGCCGAAACCAAGCTAGTCCGCTTGAAAATGACCCGCTGAGTCCGATTTTCTGGTTCAAAAAGCTCCACGAGCTCGCTAGACCGAGCGATCGCCGAAAAACCAGCGTTTGATCAAATTTTACCAAAGGATCAAAAACACTCATTTTTGACCGTTTCTCGGCTCAGGGAGCTCCGGCGAGTCTCGGGACCGGGCGCAATCGATTCTACGCCTCAAACTACGTAGGATTTGACACTAATCTCGAAATTTTTTTTCCCCTCCAAAATCGAGAAAAATCCACAGGGGTACCATGGACTGAATTTTTGGGGTCAAAATCGAAAGTTCTCCGATCGAACCGAAACCAAGCTAGGCCGCTTGAAAATGACCCGCTGAGTCCGATTTTCTGGTTCAAAAAGCTCCACGAGCTCGCTAGACCCGAAATTTTTCCCGCGCGTTACAGCGTTGCCAAGTTGAAAACAGGCAAATTCCGTAAGTGGCATTAAAATTGAGCTATGAAGTTGCAGTTTTAACGAAAATTCTCTAAAAATTACGCACTTTTAGGAAATGACCATGTTTTTAATGTCGCATTAATTCTAACATGCATTATTGCCAAATTTCCGAATTTTAAATTCGACAAATGTTACATATCCGCAAATACCCAAAAAGGCTATCTTCAAATTTGAATAAAAAGTTGTCTAATCGATAGTTCGTTTGATTCCGCATCCATCGATATATTATAGCTCGCTGGGAAACTTTTGGTTCGCGAGATATCATCATTTTTGTGAACAGCTTTATGGAGCGACGACGCTTTTTGAGTCCGGGCGGATAGAAATTTTAGCCTCCAAAAACACCGGGTAGCATTAATTCCATGGTTTCCTATGTAATTTTTGGCGCTGAATCCGAATCTGACCATTTCATAAAAAAATTGTCACCAAGATGTTGCCAAATTTGGCAAAAATTGCTTAAAATCGGCCTTTTTGGCGGATTATAGCCTGTGACTTGCCAGGAGTTGATCATACGACAAAATTGGTTAGGTATTTCCACAGTTTAAACTCGTTAAACTATCTACAAGCTGAGTCAAATTCTTTCTGCTTACGGTAAAATTAAACGCGCGACAAGCAGAAAACTGAAAAAAAGACACCAAAATTGGCGCTTTTTGCGGTTTTTGTCGAGCTATAATATATCGATGGATGCGGAATCAAACGAACTATCGATTAGACAACTTTTTATTCAAATTTGAAGATAGCCTTTTTGGGTATTTGCGGATATGTAACATTTGTCGAATTTAAAATTCGGAAATTTGGCAATAATGCATGTTAGAATTAATGCGACATTAAAAACATGGTCATTTCCTAAAAGTGCGTAATTTTTAGAGAATTTTCGTTAAAACTGCAACTTCATAGCTCAATTTTAATGCCACTTACGGAATTTGCCTGTTTTCAACTTGGCAACGCTGTAACGCGCGGGAAAAATTTCGGGTGAACTTGCCAATGCCGGAAAAAGGCGGGTCTTGTGATAGGGAACAACATATCCAACTCCGGGCAAAATCCAAGCGTAGGGTAAAATCGCCGATTTTGAATAACCCTCTTTTACCAAAGGGTCAAAAACACTCATTTTTGACCGTTTCTCGGCTCAGGGAGCTCCGGCGAGTCTCGGGACCGGGCGCAATCGATTCTACGCCTCAAACTACGTAGGATTCGACAGTAATCTCGAAATTTTTTTTCCCCTCCAAAATCGAGAAAAATCCACAGGGGTACATTGGACTAAATTTTTGGGGTCAAAATCGAAAGTTCTCCGATCGAACCGAAACCAAGCTAGTCCGCTTGAAAATGACCCGCTGAGTCCGATTTTCTGGTTCAAAAAGCTCCACGAGCTCGCTAGACCGAGCGATCGCCGAAAAACCAGCGTTTGATCAAATTTTACCAAAGGGTCAAAAACACTCATTTTTGACCGTTTCTCCGCTCAGGGAGCTCCGGCGAGTCTCGGGACCGGGCGCAATCGATTCTACGCCTCAAACTACGTAGGATTCGACAGTAATCTCGAAATTTTTTTTCCCCTCCAAAATCGAGAAAAATCCACAGGGGTACCATGGACTAAATTTTTGGGGTCAAAATCGAAAGTTCTCCGATCGAGCCGAAACCCAGCTCGTCCGCTTGGAAATGACCCGCTGAGTCAGATTTTCTGGTCGGGAAAGCTCCACGAGTCCGCTGGATCGCGCTACCGGCGAAAAACGCACTTTTGCAATAGGGCCAGAAACACTCGTTTTTGACCGTTTCTCGGCTCAGGGAGCTCCGGCGAGTCTCGGGACCGGGCGCAATCGATTCTACGCCTCAAACTACGTAGGATTTGACACTAATCTCGAATTTTTTTTTCCCCTCCAAAATCGAGAAAAATCCACAGGGGTACCATGGACTAAATTTTTGGGGTCAAAATCGAAAGTTCTCCGATCGAGCCGAAACCAAGCTAGTCCGCTTGGAAATGACCCGCTGAGTCCGATTTTCTGGTTCAAAAGGCTCCACGAGCTCGCTGGACCGAGCGATCGTCGGAAAACCAGCGTTTGATCAAATTTTACCAAAAGGGTCAAAAACATTCGTTTTTGACCGTTCCTGGGCTCAGGGAGCTTCGCCGAGCCTCGGGGCCATGCGCAATCGATTCTACGCCTCAAACTACGTAGGATTCGACACCAATCTCGAAATTTTTTTTCCCCTCCAAAATCGAGAAAAATCCACAGGGACCAAATTTTTAGGGTCAAAATCGAAAGTTCTCCGATCGGGCTGAAAGAAAGCTGGTCCGTTTTAATCTGTATTCAATTACGTATAAATTGATTTTTTAACTTCAATACAGGAAAAAGTGACTCGATACAAGCAGAAATATGTTCATATTTACCACCGAGTCAATCTCCTCACGCATCAATGAAAATAATGCTCGTTTAAAGAAGAAAATATGCTTCTATAAAAAGAGAAGTCACTTTCATGAAGCAGGAACTCGCTTTCATTCAGCTATCAACTCTTGATTCAAAAATAAAATCTTCTTGACGGCAAACTCTATGTTTCCGCCTAAATAGAGTCACTTTCTCTTTAATGAAATTAAAAAAGTGTGCTAAACGTTATAAAATAGTGAGTTTTTGGACTACCGCTTTATTTTTGTGCCGTAGTATCTTGATTTATTAAGAGAAGACAGCTCCGTATCTACTCTAAAAGGACCTGTCATTCTTCATGTGTTTGATACTGTGCAATACTACTGTTGTGAAATAGTTGTTTGAGGCGCCGTGGCACGCTGCAGAGTGGCGGGCGGCTGGACAGTGCGAGACGCGCATTGGTGCCTACAAACCTAAGGGGATACTTCAAGCAGTGCGCAATGCGTGAAGTATCCCCATAGGTTTGTAGGCGCCAAGGTAGTGCGCGTTTCGAGCTGGCAGCATGCTGCTCCGCTCTGTGCTAGGCTCTAATGTTTTAATTCGCGCGGAGTCAGCGGTTTTCAACCTATGATTTTGAAATGTTAGCACACTCTGCATAGATTATTCTCACTTGAATTGATGGGGAAAAAATATTTATTAAAGGAAAATATAGTGTGTGTTTTGTAAATATTGAGGTGGTTCCTTGTCCAATTTAATGACTTCCACAGCATTTTAATTTTTTATTTTATATTTTGTGCCGTTACTGTGCTGCAGCGTGGTGTGCGCACCACCAAAAACTCAAAATTGGACGTATTTGATTCTAGAAGATCGATAATCAAATGGGTTAAAACCAAAGATCGCGTGATTCTTGATTTTTCCCCCACTCTTTTATTTAATTCTTGTATAGTTTCTTTCAACACAACTCCGGCTCATTGAGATTAGTTTCGATGCCATCGCTTGGAAAATGTTTTAT